TTTTTGTATTTTGTCAGTAGTGGCAATTTTAAGCTTAAAATGTTGTTTGTATTATAGTTAGAATATCGTATTTATTCCTAAAGTTAACTTTAATGCTTTTTTTAGATAATGAATTCGATTTTTTTGGCTTAAACTTAACTTTTAAGCCTAAAATTTATTTTTAAGTTCAAAATGCACTTTTAAGCTTGAAATGCATTCTTAAGCCTACCTTTCATTTATATCTTTATAATTCATTACGAAAACTAAAATTTATGTTTCATTTTTTAATTCATATTTAATCATAAATCGTTGAGTTTTTGCCATAGCAAACAAAAGTGTACATTCTATAAATTCTAAAATCAAAAACTCCAGATGCCGATAAATATATGACGATCAATTCACTTTTCCATATTGCCAATTTTTCAACTTATTATTATACTTTTGATATGTTATGGCAACAAAGGAGCCATGCAAGACTACAAAAAGCCATGGAAAAGTGCTTTCGCACGTTTCTCTCGAGATTGATTGTGATTTATGGCCCGCATACTGAGTTTAACGTGAAAAGAAGGTTAAAAAGGTTTTACGAATCACCTTGCTACAAACAAGGCCTTGTTTGTAGCTTCTTGACTCATACTTTATTCTGCATTTTGGACAATTGTGATCCACTTTGTATGGGAATGGCATATTGGGGTAGATTTTGTGACTGAATGGCATATCGAGGGTAAATTTTGTGAAAGAGTGGCGTAAAATTTATTTTTTTTAAATTATGAGCATATTTTTAGGCTTAAGGTTAGTTTTTAAGTCTGTTTCACCTTACAACCTAATTTTAAGTTTAAACCTAGAACTTATAGTTTTTAGGCCAAAAATTCTCGTTTAAGCCTTCATTTTAATTTTTAAGCCTAAACTAATTTTTATGTTCAAAATGTTACTTTTAAGCCTATATTTTTATTTTCAAGCACAATTTTAATTTTTATGTTTATAATGTTGTTTTGCAAGCTTAAAATCTATTTTTAGGCCTAAAATTCATCTTTAACCCTAGATTTAATTTTTAAGCCTACAATTTTGTCCTTCAACTTAAACTTTTACTTTAAACTCGAATTTTAATTTTTAAGCGTCAAATTTCATTTTTGATCTTCATTTTTCATTTGTAAACCCTAAGATTCTCATTTAAGCCTAAAATTTATTTTTAAGCCTAACTTCTATTTTTTTAAGCTTAAAATTTACCTTTAAGCCTAAAATGTCATTTCAAATCCAAAAAATTCATTTTTTTAAAAAATTTGAAAAATGAATTACCTAAAAACAGGCACACCACATTTAAATTTGTTTACCTAGTTCGGTTTTATAAAACAAATTCCTAACTCAATTCCCAGCCTTTTCCTAAATAAAGTAGTCGAATCCGCTTTGATGCGTTCTCAATTGATCTTAATTTTATACCACATTAACTGGGTAATTCGTATCAGAGAAACGATATCAATTTGGAGCGTTTTCGTTTTACAAAGATCTGGGAATTTTGGTTTTTGGTGCAAAATTTTTAAGTTTAGGTTAAAAATGGCATTTTTCGTAATTTTTTTTTGATTTTATGACATTTTTGGTAATTTTATGACATCTTATGGCATTTTTGGTATTTTTTTTGTGATTTTGTGACATTTTTGGTACCTTTGTGTAATTTTATGAAATTTTTTAAATTTTATAGATTTTTTGATTAAAAATAGTTTAAAATTGGTTTTTTTGTTCTTTTTATTGATGTTTTATCAGTATTCAAAAAATTTTAAAAGTTTAATTATACTAGTTTTCAGTAGGTGACCTTAACCGTCGGTTTTAAGTTTATTTAAATTTCCATCCCTAAGGCGATTAATTTTCTTCGCACTCTTGCGCTCTGCAAGATCCTACGCGTTTTATTCAAATTTTACATCGTATCTTTATTTTTAGTGTTAGTACGTTATGACAAACTGTATTTTAAACGTTTTTTTAATACTATCATAAGCCTAAAACCAATGCCGTAATAGCTTTTGAGGTTAGAATGTAGCAAAAAACAGGGAAAAAATGACTTTTTATTTTATTTTTACCCTAGTTTCACCATAGCCCTAGTCTAGAGCCCTAGTTCAAAGCCCTAGCCCAAATCCCTAGCCCAGAGCCCAAGCCCAGAGCCCTAGCTCAGAGCCCTAGCCCAGAGCCCTAGCCCAGAGCCCTACCCCAGAACCCTAGCCCAGAGCCCTAGCTCAGAGCCCTAGTCTAGAGCCCTAGCCCAGAGCCCTAGCCCAGACCCTACCCCAGAACCCTAGCCCAGAGCCCTAGCTCAGAGCCCTAGTTTAGAGCCCTAGCCCAGAGCCCTAGTTCAGAGCCCTAGCCCGTAGCCCTAGCCCAGAGCCCTAGCCCAGAGCCCTACTCCAGAACCCTAGCCCAGAGCCCTAGCTCAGAGCCCTAGCCCAGGGCCCTAGTCCAGAGCTCTAAGTCCAGAGTCCTAGCCCAGAGCCCTTGCCCTAGCATCACGCTCTTTTGGCTTTAGCAGCGTTCATACTTTTGTACAGTTTAAATTTCAATTAATCTCATTGACGTCAAACCCTGTAACCTTTGATTCAGCCCTAATAACCGGAATAACTCAGTATTAACAGATGCATAACTCAGTAACCATAAACCCCTCGCACTGTTTCGGACCCCAAACATCCCAAACGCTTATCCTATTTCCGGAATTCCGCATTGTTTCCCTCCGGCAATTATGCAAGTGCGCGGGCTCGGATTCCCCAAACGCCTCCAGTAAGCGGGTTTTCTTCTCCCTTCCTTCACTTGAAGATGTCCTTTTTTCGGCATGTTTTTGACTTTTTTGCCCAGTTTGTTTGGGGCCGAGTATTGTCTGGAGACCGTGTGATGAACGTATCTCTGCAATTTTATGTCATACGAACGTATTCGGGTCATTTTTATGGAAAATACGGATTTTTTATTGTGGTTTGCAAAAAAAGGTTAATGTTTTGGGGGACTCTTGACAATTTTTTGCATGTATTTTTTAAATTTTAAAATATTTTTCTAAAATTTATATAAAATTTTATAAAATTAAAGCCTTAGGCTTACGAAAACTTGTTTTAGGGGTTTGAGAACAGAAATAATTACGACTAAAATTTTCATAAATCTTTTCTTAACTTTTCAGGACCATATTTAGTAATTTTGGACCCAAATTTTAAGCCATTTTGATAAACTTAATTTTTAGGCTTTAATTTAGGCCTAAAAGTAAATTGACCGTATCACTTTAAAACTTTGCATAAACTTTTTTAAACCGTGTGTACTTCATTTTACAATATCTCTGCCTCCTCTCCACAAAATTCCACCCCAATATCTCAACTGCAACCTATCAAAAATGGCATTTTCCTCGATATTACCCTTGACCAAACTCCGCGATCACGGCATACATTAAGATCAAAACACACATTGTTTATGACTAATTTTTACTCAAAATTCGCCGCATGAACATTCCCTATTCCAGACGATGCTCCACGATCACTCATGCTTCATTTGCGTGATGAAAAATTGAGTATTCGAGGGTAGAATAATATAAAATTTATCGCCCATCAAGCCGGTTCGGCGGCCGAGTTTGCAGCCTTTTTTTGTACTTTTGATGAATTTTTAATTTAAAATTGTTGTCTCTCTGTTGAAGTGTGTGATACGGTGACAGTAAAAGGGTTCTGCAAAGATTTTTGTTTTTGATTTATAATAACTTTGTTGTCAAAAAGCTTGGTATTGGATTCATTTTAGTCTAATTTTGTGCTTGCAGAAGGCTAATGACATTTAAAAAAGTTTGTTTTTATTTTCACTTTTTATATTGTTTTATAAATACAACTATGCAGTAGGCGTATTTTACCCATGCTACAAAACACAGACGCGATGACGAATTTTGTAGTCTCAATGACGGATTTTCTGGAAATTTCGCGCGGTTTCGCTTATCTTTCGCGGATTTTGTCAAAATTCGATCTCCTTATCAAATTTGCTGAAAATTTTGTATTTTTTTAATTCCTCAATGTCTCTTATACCTATTGCGCGGTTTTGTTATCTAATTTCACGCGTTTTGTTGTAATTTCGTGTTTTTTACAAAATTTTTGATCAAGAGGTCATGTATAATATCGGAAAGTGATGTTTTGTTTGTCATTAAGCTGTTTTGTAATAATGATTGTTTGTCACGTGATTAAGCGATATTTTTTCAATGTTTAAAATACGTTTTAAATTGATTTGAAATTGTAAAGAAATATTGTTTTAGATGCGAAATGCGAGGTTGAATTCGGCAAAGGCACCAACAACAGTGCCGCAAGTGAGGCAGACATTGAGCGCCAAGTTCAGAACTGGTTCTACCAGTAGCTTGAACAAACTGTCGATTGGTGGAATCAAGAAGACACAGTCTACAGCCAGTTTGAAGAGTTTGCCCAAGAAAAGGACTGATATAGCTACAACTGTAAGTGTTTTTGATGTTTTTTGATTGTTTTTAGGTAATTCTTGGGGAATTTAAGAGTATTTTTGATTGAGAACGATCTTTAAAAGATGCTAAAATTATTTTTTTAATGTAAAGTGACTTTTGGGACTAAAAATTATGTTATCCATGAAATAAACCTTAAAAAGCTAATTTTTCACCGTTGGCGATCGAAATTTAACGATTTACATTGAACATACGCTGGCTTTATGACTTTACTGTGTTTTGCACGCAAACGTAACCTTTATGACTTCCATAACCTTGCTTGATGTTTCAATTTTGTTTACAAGTCGGGACTGTAATATCCGTTTTCCGTCTTTTATGACCCACATTATGCGAATTTTCTCTCGACCTATCCTCGGCGCATTAGAAGCGCTTATTCGAAGGTTCTATCAGTAATATTCCGTGTGATTTGGGCTATTCTAATTAAATATTTGCTAGTATTGACGTAGATTAAGTTAAGATTACTAATTTTTGCTGAATTTTTTGACTACTATAAGGTAACGCGTGTTATATCAACTTTCTTGGTATTCTGTATTGCTCTTTGTGAACTGGATTTTATCCTTGGATTATGGTAATTACTTTACCTTCAAGAAAGCCATCAATTTGGCCAAAATTCAGCGACAACATCAAAAACTTTGGTGATGTTAACCATGATGAATGTGAAGCGAGGAAAAAGGTGTTTCTACCTGATAAGACGCTGAATTCTGATAAGAGCTTAGTATCGGAAGTTGAAGCAAGGAAGAAGATAGATTCCGTGAAGAAACGTGCAACTTTGATGGATTTGTACGATAAATACAAAGACAAGAAGTTATCTAAAGTAAATGAAGGTAGTCAAAATGGAAGGTTTGATATTGGAAATGGTAATGGATTTGAATCTACAGGAGTGAGGAATGGTGTTTGTGGAAGAAGTAAAACTCCAGTTCATTTTGAAGGTATTGGCGAGAGTATGCCTTTAAAATCAGAAGGCTCGGAAAACAAAATCAATAGTTTTCTACGAAAAACATCGAAAGTCAATACAACTTCACCTAAAATTTATCGAAGCAATTCGAAAACCAACGGATTATCAGTAAAACTTACTAGAACTTCTTCAAAACTTGGTTTATCATCTAAAATCAACCGAAACCCATCAAAAGTTATTGGAATGTCACCAAAGATTGACCGAAGCTTATCAAAGCTAAACTCTAGTTCAACTAAACTCAACTACAAAAGTCCAAGAACGGTGTCTCGAACATTGTCTTCACGTTCAAGCTTCAAAAAGTCGCCGGGAATGAGTTCACAGCGCTACAATCAACTTCGTGTGACTCAATTGGGCCGCCGATTGCCTAAAAGGGTGAGTTTGCATTTTGTGCGAACGTTTCTGGAACGACGAGAACGCTTTTTATCTTGGGAATGTTTTGAGGAACGTTGCAATTTTATTGGGAATGAGGTAGAGGTGTTAATGGGCTTGAAAGTTTGTTAAAGATATTGGAAGGTCAATAAACATACGTATCTTCTATGGGAGTACAGTGGAACTCCTGTATAACGAACTCCTCTATAACGAAACTCCCGTATAACGAACAAGTTTTAAATCCCCGTCTACCACTACACAGTGCATTTAAAACTCCTGTATAACGAAACTCCTTTATAACGAACAAATTTCAAGTCCCCGAGCGATTCGTTATAGAGGAGTTCCACTGTACATAGAAGATACATAAGTTTTTAAAAATTTAGGGTAAGATTGATAGAGAATGTCAACATTTTTGGTTGTTTTCACTTCTTTTTTGTCTCCATAACTTATGAGGGGCATAACATTACATGACTATCTCTTATAGTCTTAAAGTCTAATATATCTAGTCTTCACAAACACTAGTAATCACATTTTTGCGTGAAGAACCTTACCATAGTCTACAGAATCTTCAAGAAAGAGGTGTTTATCTAATTTGTAACGTAATGTTAAAGCAACTCAGTAATGTTAATGGCGATTTGATTGTAAAATTAACTATACTGTTAATGGCGACCTGATTGTAAATGTTGATGTTTCAATGTAGAATCAATATTGGCTTGATTAAGTAACTAGGGATGTTAATTTGGAATTAGTGGTTGTTTTTTAGTCTAGTGGCGGAAGTACAGCTGATTTAAGTTTAGGGTGATTTTTGAAAACGCTAATTTTCAACGCTGCGTATTTTACAAATATTTTTAAAAAATTCGCTGCTGTATTTTAACAAGGCTTGCTAAGAAAAAAAAATTTTTGCGAATTTTCCTATACTGGAACAGTGGGTAATTGGGCCAATTTTATAATCGGTAATAAACGCTCGTTTGGCGGAATAAATCAGCACAAATCCAGCTGGAATTAGCTCGAATTTTTGCATCTGCTCTTATTCTGAACCTTCATTTTGATTTTTTATATTTGGGTTGAATCAAAAGTTTAAAAATTTTTTTAGCTTGAGGGCATGAATTTAAAAAATGATTTTTTAGCTTGCGGGAATGAGCTTAAAATTTGATTTTTTAAAAATTTTTTTTGACACGGTGGAGCTCTTGTAAAACGAGCTCGTTTATAACGAAAACCTTGTATAACGAACATTCTAAGCCTTTATAGAATTAGGTTAGAATGCACCACCAATTACGTTAAAATTTGACCGTTTTCATGATCTGAATACCTATTATAATATGATCGAAGAATACCTAATTCAATTCCTTTGGTTTTATATTATTGTCTTGGGAATTTGTGACCTAAAGCCATTTGATTTATTGAAGGCATCGAGAATTAACTTTTGTCGGATCAAAAAATTAACAAAGCTGTTCGAATTTTTTTTATATGCTGAAAAGGCTAAAGTTCGTGAGGCTGAGGTGGGTAATGTTCATGTGATTTGAGGTGGTTTTTTATTGTCTTGATGTTTTAGGTAATAATTTTTCAATTTGATTATTAGGAACCTCTTTTCACGCCAAAACTTTTCTACTACGCATAAATAAATGCAAATTAATCAAAAAAATCGCGCGATACCTTGAAATATCGATCCTCTCTGATCCAAAGCGCAGATTAGCCCGGGAATTAATGAAATTAGAGGATTCGAAACGCATATTGTTTGAAATCGGATAGGTCAACGGCTGTTGCTGTCTTTTGTGTTTGTAATGTCGCATTTTGAGGGTATTGGTTTACAGTAATTTTGAATACGTTGCGGAATTTTTTATATTGTATATAGGGATTTTGGGGCGCTTTTTGAAGAGATTTTTAAGAGGTACCCCTTAAAAATGCCAAAAGTACGGTTAAATAAGGATTTTTTTATAAATTTTGGCAAAAAAATTACCCGGGTGATTGGTTATACATGAGTTTACAGTAGTACTACAAAAAATGTTTTAAAATTTATCAAAAACTTACCTTTCACAATCATCGAAATAACAATTATACTCGTAAAAGCCCGCCATTCAGAATAGCCACACTTTATTTCGAATATAAAAATCATCCCGGATTACAAATTTTATGACTTTTTTACGAACTCTGCTTTGAAAAAATGCATCCCTCTCTAAAGGCTGAAAGTGCTTTTTACAATAAAGTGGCTTGTGACATTAATCTCCCTTTTGACAATAAGAACACTTTGGGCCACATGGCGGATTCAAATTTTGCAATCGATTCGATTTGTTGTTTTTTGGAGAAAAGGAATCGAAAAAGGGGATCTTTTGTGATTTTCATCCCCCACCTTAAATGACCCGTCATTTGACGCAAAAACTTTTTCCATTTTTTTGCGATTGTCTTTTGAGGTTTTGTACAAGTTAAGTTGGGATTTTATTGAAAATTTGAGATTTGGATGGCATTTTTTGACTTTAAGTTGAATTTCGAGGCATTGGCTAGCCTAAAAATTAAAAAATGAAAACGAAGATAGTTCAATATTAACCGGCAAATTAGTTTTTTATAATGAATGGGTCAAAAATAGCCTCTGACAGTAAAATACTCTGATAAAACTGCTCTCTCAACGCCCTTGTTTTCTCTAATTTGAATAGAAACCGGACGTGGTGATCAAAAAACGGACGGCGGATTTACCAGTTTTTTTCAATGCATTTCCAATTTCCACAAATTTCGTCTTTGGACGTGAATTTTGCGCATTTGTGATGGGCTTTTCACGAAACAAAAAATGGTTTACATTTTTGGGGAAAACCGTTTTTTACCCATTTTAAGTGCAAAACTTAATAATTCCGTTGTATTCTTTGACCACTCAAGTTTTTCTGCGTTACTTTATTGCGTTTTTTGCAAAAGTTTTTGGTTGAATTTTGAGGTGCTGAAGGTGGATTGTAAAGCGGGACCAATTGGTCTTTTATAGGTCTAAGTTAGATTAATTTTTACAAAGTTTAGCTTATGTATGTACTAGGTATTGAGGGCTAAAATTATTGATGATGTTCTTGCTTTAGAAGCTTAGTATCAGCTATCTTACACTTGATTTTCTACAATAAAATAAGCGTTTATATTCTCTACTAAATTGCTGAAAAATGCATTTTGTTGTAGCTCAATAAAGCCGAGAATTTCGTTGAAACTGCTTTGTTCTTTTGTAGCGCTCGAGATTTTTTCGATAAATTTTTAATGGACTTTTGACTTTTTTGAGGGTGTGTTATGACCCTGGTTCGTGAAGCCTAGGCCATGGAGCGTAGGTTAAATCGACGTCGGTTTGTCGACGCCGAAGAGCAGAATCGATGGATTCTGGAGGAAATGGTACAGACCAACAGGAATGTAAGTTTAAAATCCTGTACTGTTAGGTTGTATAAAAAGTAGCGAGCTACTGAACTCCACCTTTCTAAAAGAGAAGTAGCTCATTCCTTTTTATACAATTTAATAGAAGTATGATTTAGTGCTAGAAGCAAGTATGTTGAAAAATTTTGGTTCAGTAGGGCTTCTTGAAAAGAAGATTCTTGAATATGTGTCTTTAACTTGGTCTAACATGTTATTTTGCTACGGTGAAGTCTACAAAAATCAAACAATTGTTGTTAGGGTGGTTTTAAAAAAGCTACTTTCAAATTTTTCAAGTACATTACTTATAGTGCTAATTAAAAACAGTTGCCTTCAAAAAATGTCTGGTAACAAAAACGAGCTGAAGTAGCCAATGTTATTTATGTATACCTGACTTCCGCGCTATTTTGAGTGGCATTTCCGTCGTACTCTTGACCCAAATGACCCTAAAGGGACATTTTAGTCGCTAGTCTTACATTTTTTAATATTAAAATGGCGTTTTTCTTTGAACTTTTATGGAAAGTTGATGTTCTTTGGCTTGGAACTTTGGGCATTGTGTTCTATTTGAATATAACAGTAGTGTTATTGTTAGGGGGGTTTTATAAAAGAAAAAATAGGTTAAAATGGCAATGTTTTAAAGCCAATAGGCATATTTTTTAACCGGCCAAAGAAAATAACTCTAAACCACAACCCTTCGATCTTAAAGTGGAGAAGATTTTGAAAAGCCGAAAACTTTGATCAAATTTCCTTCGCTGCTTTTATGTCCCATTGATTTTTTTGTTATTTTAAGGCCAGAAAACAAGTAGAGATTATTAGCCGAAGAGATTTCGAGGCCAGAGAAGCGGACTTTCCGCTTTTCGGATCTTTTTTTTTATCAAATCGGATCCATTTCAAAAATTCTCCCCTTCCTGTAGGGGTTTTTGAAAGGGTTTGGAGATAAATATTCGGCTATGGACACGAGTTTCTATTCTGCTGCTTCAGGTGATGAGAATATGCTTAATTCGAATGTGCCCTTTAGGGTAAGTAGGGGTATGGCATGGAGGTGAATTTAAAGGATGGATGTAGTTACTAAAACATTGTAGGAAGGTTTTAAAATTTTTAACAAATGCTCAGAGATATATTATCTTGGTTAGGTTTTAAAAAAGGAGCACCATTGTCGTATTTCACCATTATAAAGCCTATCAGTCTTAAAAGTAATTTTTATAACAAAATTTGAAGATTTCAAAAATTTATCTTACAAGGAAAGTGCCCGACCTGCCACGCTCTGATTGACTTCATACTTTTTACATAGAAAGATCATGTAAATATAACATGTTCAGCAAGGTACTAAATCGCGCTTTCCAGGAAATCTCAAGAAAATCGAGATTGAAAAATGACATTTTGAATTTCCCGCCGACTTGGCGTTGTGTTTTCAGCTTGTAACTTCGTAATTTTTTGACTTTTAATAACTTTTCTTTAATATACTAGTAGAATACCTTTAAATGAACCTACATTTTTAAATTTGTAAGCGTATCTTGTCTGGAAAGCAGAAAAAAGTGCTTGAAACACAATGCCAAATTTGCCAAATTGGCGGGAAACCCAAATAATTTAAATTTAAAACTCAAGAGCGCGAGCTAAACTTTTTTATGGGTACTATTGGTGGTACAAAGAATTCATATAAAAATTTTGAGCTGATTCTCAGCGGGGCAGTTAAGGTACTATCCTTGTTAAGTCTTCACACTAAGCCTAAAACACTTTGCAAGAATCATTAATAACGTTGTTTTACA